TTCCCGCCCTAGCACCCCACTGTCTGCACTCCAGCTGCTCTGGCTCCCTGCCTGGAACACCCTCTTCTCCTGGCCTCCCGGCTCCCTCCAGCCCTGTGGTCTGTTCAAGTTGAAGCCTTTGGCCCTCCCCGCCCACTGCACGACAGCATCAGCCTTCCCTTCGGTCTCTGCCCCACCCCCGTCTGTGTACACTATCACACTCGTGTTCGTAGAGGTGTTTGCCATCCTCTCCTCTGACCAGGTCAGCCCCGTGAAACTGAGGTTGTGTGTGTGTGCTAAACTCATTTATAGCTTTTATGAGAGAGAGAGACACAGCCCCCTGACTTCAAAGCACCATCCACCCCGTTCTCAGCTGGCCTGGATCATGGCGTATGTGCCTGGTGTGCACAGGGACATCCTGGAACACAACCCCAGGACCTTCCAGTGGCTTCAGCTGTGTTACCGCTGCACCACCAGCTGGCCCTGGGGGTATTCGTTGCTCGAGTACCTGGAAGGGTGCCTGGCACATAGTGGGTGCTTCACAACTATTGCCAAGTCAAGGCAGATGGGTTGGTCTCTGTCCTGAACACTGATGGACTGAGACGGATGGGTCCAAGGGCAAAGCCTCAAGAAACAAGGCAGGCCCGGCGTGGTGGCGTGGTCTGGTCGACACAGCTCTCCAGAGGCTGAGGCTACGGGAGGCCCGGCTAGATTCCTGGCCCACCCTAAAATGCCAGGCGTGAGGGAGCACATGCCTCAGTCCAGCTACTCAGCAGGCTAAGGCAAGAGCATCGTGACCTGGCAAGACCCTGTCCGAAAAATAAATAAATGCAGGGCCAACAGGTGGTGGCTATGGCGCTGGACGCTCACATGGCCGACCACTGTTAAAGTCCTGGACCTGGTGGCTTGAAAATCATGCCAGGTGCACATGTGTGTGAGCACACGTTACACGTGTGCCCAAAATCCCGAGAGGAGAATGGAGGGGAAGGGATTGGGATTGCAGTGTGTCTGCCCTGAGGGGGGCTGATTTCTCACTTTCCCTCTCTCTGTCTCTCTCTGTCTCTCTCTCCAACAAGCTCACGTACTCTGTGGCAAAGCCACTGAATGAATGAATGAATGAATGAATGCAATAAAATAAAGCCAGAAGCTGTTGCAGAGGGCTAGGTACCCTCCCTTTATTGCCTAGAATGGGTGGACACAGAAGATATAGCATTTACTAGTCTGTAGAGCTTAGCAGTGAAGAACTCTGCACTTGGGGCCAGAGGTAGAGTGGTAGATTAGGTGCTGGGCCCAACATGGCTGACCACAGTTCGAGTCCCAGACCTGGTGACTTGCTTTTTCACCTTCTCTCTCTCTCTGGTGAGCACACATGCCCTATAACAAATTAAATAATAATAATAAATAAATAAATAATTCTTTAAAACCCCCCACAAAACTCCGCACTTAATAGCTGTATTACCTTAGACAAGCTGCGTCATCTCTCTGAGCCTGTTTCTTCACTGGTAAAATGAAGATAATAAAACTAAAGCCATAGGCCAGCAGATAGTATAGAAGTTGAGGTCTGGATCCTACATGGTCGACTGAGCAGACTTGAAAGCCACAGCAGGCACCTGTGCATGTGTGTCCAAAATCCTGAGACTGGAAGAGAAGGATTGCAACGTGGCCGACTCCCGGGGAGGGGTGCTTCCCTGCTCCCTCCTCCCTGCGTCCCCTATCTGTCTCTGGTGACATGCCCTACACAATAAATACATACATAATAAATAGATAAAACTGAAACCGAAACCACGGAGTCGTGCAGATAGACTGCACATGAAACGGCACAGTGCCTGCGTGAGCGTGTGCTCAGTAATTGTTGGAGAACGTGACATTATTCCTCTGTGACTGTGGATGTATAATCAGATTTTCCACCCCGGTCCAAACAGGCTTTTGCCGGGTACTATTCTTCTGACCTAGGGCAGGTGGTTTTACCTGAAATGAGATTCTGCCTCCTCCTTTGCCATGGAGAGAATCACGGGCCCCGGTGCCCTGAGCCGACGTGTTGAAAGGCGCCAGCCAGTGACCTGGGAGCAGGCACTCTGAAGTGCGGCCGTACCACGAGGGGCAGCTAGGACTGCGGGCACTGGGGGCCAGGGGTGGCTCCTTAGTTTCCAGAGGCTCCAACAGACTCTTGGGGGGCCCTGGATGACGTGTCACCATACCGGACAGCCTGGACTGAGGCAGTAGAATCCGGATTTCGCCCCTAAGCTGAGCCCAGCCTGAACCTAACAGAGCCCTTGGACACAGGACAGCATAGGTCGACCAGCCAGCTGAGATTACGGACAGAATAGTCTTGCTTGATTTTTTTATTTTTTAAAGTTTTATAGGGTGTATGTGCTCACAGGAGAGACAGAGAGAGAGGGGGAAGGTGTGAATTATCCCCCAGGGGGAACGGTCATGCTGCAATCCCTTCTCTTCCATTCTCTTTCCAGGATTTTGGGCTCTCACGCAGGCTCTCCGGGGGTGTTTTTCTAGCCTCCAGGTCAGCGTGCAGTTGGCCACATGGGCTCCCGCTGCCGTAACCCCACACCCCCAGCTGGCCCCAGTCTTGCTTTTCTTAAACTCCTATGTGAAGCAGAAATGAAGCATCCAGAGCCTAGGGTCTATCTTTGGGGATCCAACACCAGCTGTTTTCACCTGCCATCCCATCCCAAGTGGGCGGGAGGCTCCAACCTTGGGATTCATCCAGCAAAACCTCCCATGGCACTCACTGCCTATGGCCCAAGCCGGACTCTGCATGGCACTGTGACCTTGTGCAGTCTGGGCCCAGCCCCTCTCTGTTAATGACATTAATTGCCGCTAAGATTGGTTCCTATGACCTAGGCCCTACCCTGAGGGCTCTGTGTCACTGTAGTCAATTCTCACCTAACTTAGGAGTCAGTGCTGTGGCTCAGTGTCCCCTCTGTGAAATGAGGACATTCCAAGAAATGTCCAGTGCCTGACACACGGTCACTGCTCAAGTGACAGTAGTCCTTACTGCACCATCCCTGTGTTACAGATGAGAAAGTCAGGGCTCAGGGAGGTCAAGGAATAACACCGAGGAAGCTGGCTTCAGCGCCCAGGCTAGCAAGCCTTGCACCCCGCACAAGGCCTGTGCTCAACTCAGCCAACTTCTCCAGCTCCCCTGGCGAGGTCTCCAGGCCCCTGTGCTTCTTGGTCCCTCTTGCCTCGTCTTCATCTTCCTCTGGAGGGTTTCCTCTCCACCTTCCAAGCTACCACTTAGAGGGCACACCCCGCTCTCGGGGCGACAGTGTTCTCGTCCCCTCTGCCCCCACCATGCCTGCCTGGCTGGCTCACACAGACCTCCGTGAGGACTTGCTGGGCTTGCCGGAGGCCAAGTCCGCCAGGGAGCCAGCCAGGAGCAGGGCACAATACCTGCTGGCAGGGGCCGCGGCTGTTCTCAGCTGCCAGGGTGCGCGGCCAGCCGGGTGAACTTGCGCGCCCTCCTCGACCAGCGCCTCCTCCCTGTGGCCCTTTGGCCCCAGCTCTCGCTTTGCTCTCCAGTCTGCCCCTGAAGTCAGCTGCAGGGGGTTCAGGCCCTGGCAGCTGGTCCCATCCACAGCACGACTCCAGATTTCTCACTTCATCGTTTATTCTGTGAAGATTTATTGAACACTGAGTCACAGTGGACAGAGGGTACAGAGTAGACAGCAAACAAGGCCTGGCTCCGGTCTCATGGAGCTGGCTTCCTAGCAGGGAGAAACACCGTGGCAAGCTCCCTGGGACAGGACGGGAAGGAACGGGGGCTTTGAGACAGAGTAGCTGTTCAAGTACAGCAGTCAGGGAAGGCCTCACTGAGGAGGTGCCATCAGAACCAAGGAACTCCGCAAAGGGTAGGGGAAGGGCATTCTGGGCAAAGAATGGCACATGCAGAGGCCTGGAGGTGGGAATGCAGCTGGGATGTGACGAAGAGGAGGCCCATGGTGGTGGGAGCATGGGGGCAAGTTTGGGACTGGAGGTGAGGTTGGGACCAAAAGGGGCTTTTTATCTTTATAACTTTTTAAAAGCTTATTCATCCACTTCTTCCATGAAAGAGACAGAGAGAGGCAGAGAGCCAGAACCCTCAACAGGGTTCTAATGCCACAATGCACCCCTAGCCCCAGCCCATCCTGGATCATGCGCACATGTGCCTGGCTTGCTTAGGGTGGTCTCTGGACTTATCTAGGGACCCTCCCGTGGAGATCACCTCACAGAACATTGCGTTTTACCACTGTACCACTGTCTGACCCTGGAGTTTATCTTTAGAATAAGGTAAAGGAGTTTATTTGTTTTTTTAAACTAGAGCCAATGGGACGTGGTCTGCATGTTTCCTGTTCTCTCTGGTTGCTGTTGGGAACCGATTAGCAAAGCAGGAGGAAAGGCCTTTGAAAGCAAGGTCAGTGATCTGGGGGAGGTGATGTGGCCAGAGCAGGGTGGTGACTGCGGGCTCAGCAGAAGTGGAGGAGCTCCAGAGAGATTTATTTATTTATTTATTTAGGAGATTTTTTTTTTTTTTTTGCTATAGTGCATGTGTGCTCACCAGAAAGACAGAGAGAGACAGAGAGACAGAAAGTGAGAAATCACCCCCTAGGGGGGATGGCCATGCCGCAATCCCTTCTCCTCCATTCTCCTCTCAGGATCTTGGGCATGCATGCACACGCACCTGGTGTGAGTTTAAGCCACCGGGTATAGGACTTGAACCACGGTCGACTACATGGGAGTCCAGCGACATAGCCATTATGCTAACTGCTCGTCCTGAACTCCAGAGATATTTAGGAAGTAGAATCTAGGGACCAGAGGTGGCATAGCACTTAAGGTGCTGGACTCCCATGTAGTCGACCACAGTTCGACTCCCAAACCTGTCGGCTTGAAACTGACTCTGGTGTGTGTGCATGTGTGCCCAAAGTACTGGGAGGAGAATGGAGAAGGGATTGCGGCAAAGATATCCCCCTGTAGGGGGATGATTTCTTGTTCTCTGTCTCTCTGACTCTGTCTCTCCGGTGAGTGCACACACCCTCTAGCAAACCTTTCTTGCTTAAAAAAAAAAGTAGAATCTATTGAAAGCTTCCAAAAGAACTGAAAAGTCTTTATTGGATGGCTGTGACAACCCCTGCAATGGGGTAGGAGTCAGGGACTACCAGGAAGGCTTGGGGTTAGAAACAGATCTGAACTGTTGGCCACAAGAACAAAGGCACAGGCACCCCCCACCCCCACCCCACCTCCCAGGGGAGACAGAACCTAGGATTAACCAAGATGCTGAGAGTGCCGGGTCACTGCCACCTCGCTTCAGTGGTGTCACAGACTGTTTGGAGGTGGGCTTGCAACCTGGAAACAGCTCCCCCAGGCCCACTCTGAGCGGACACAGATTCCTGGGCTAGGAAGTGGCCAAACTGCAGACCCACAGAACTGACCTGGTACCCCAGGAGCAGAGGAAGGCAGAGGAAAGGAGGAGGGGGAAAGGGAGACAGAGGAAAAGCTGCAGCAGAGTTCTTCCTGTCCTGTGAGGCTGGTCTGCTTCCTGTCACCTCCTCTGTCCCCTCTTCTCCACTCCTGGGAGCCTGGTGACTGCTCAGCTCTCCCTGGGTCCCCCTACCTCCCTCAGGAGCACGCCCAGCCAGCAGCCCTCGCTCTGAGAGGGCAGCCTCGCTCCTGGCAGGTAGCCGCACATCTCTGCATGGCAGGGTGAGGAGGTCAGCAATCTGATCGAAGGCATTCAACTAAGGAGTGGAAGGACTTCTTATCCCTCCTTGAGGAATGTGCCTTTTCAAAAGAGCTTTCTGGGTCACTCCGAGGAAGATCTCTGAAGATCTCCGTCTTCTTCCCCACTGCTCTGAAAGGGCCCTTCTCCCTAGGGTTTCTGCAAATCCTACTTTTGAGCCTGGAGCCTCTTCCCTGCATGCTCTGGGGGGTTGTTTCATCAAAGGCTGGAGGAGAGGACTCTTCTTAGGTGACTCCACTTAGTAACCAGGATGGAATGAGTGCTAATGAACTGGCAGTTCAAGCACCCCTGGGGTCGCCAGGTGTGGGGGTGGGGGCAGGGAAAATGCCAGGAGCGCTTGGGGGGCTCCCAGGGGAGGGAGCGGAATATTTACAAGTATGAGTACCGTCATTTACCAGTGAGTTCTGCATCGCACCAACTGGGGTGGCGACACTGGTCCCAGGAACATCAGCAGTCTGTGCTGTCCTACTGGGAGCGGTGGAGGAGCCACTTGCTCCTTCCGTTTAGAGAAAAGTGGCCCTGGTGGGGCTGCGTAATGAAATGGCCACTGAGCCGAACCAGCTGTGCAGGGTCCTGGGTGAGCAGGACCTCAGCCCCTCCACCCCGCGTGGCCCCGAGGGCAGAGTCCTTCTGATGGCCCCTCTCCTGCCCCTCCCTGTGGTTATTTCTGTCCAGCCGACTTGGCTGCGGCGGCAGTCTGGGCTCTGGGAGCCGGATGCAGGGCAGGCAGCACAGACGTCTGGAGCGGACTCCCGAGAGAATTCCTCTCAGGGAGCCGTCATGTGGGGCCACGGCCCCTCCACAGCGAGCACCCAGCGGGGTGGGCCACACGCCTGGAGGACGGCGGCAGAGTCAGGGAGCAGGTGCTCTTGCTTGGCCCTGGCTGTCGTCTGGGAGAGCTGCTCGCGGGCGGGTGCAGAGGACGGCCTCTCACAGAGATCTGCTGCCCAGAAACCTCCCGCCTGGGTCGGCCAGCGGTGAGGGAGCCCTGTCATCAGCTGGAGGGTGGGTGTCTGCGGCTGGTGGCTGGGAGGGGAACACAGGCAGGCCCTGCTGGGCCCCCAATCTCGGCCTTGGCTGTGATGGAGAAAGAGTCTGTCCAGTGGTTTGATGCAACAGGTTGGCCAGAGACAGGTGGGCAGGGGCAGACAGGGTTCCCAGGAGCCCTCCCTGCTCAGCTACCGTCCCCAGGAAGTGGGGCAGACACTATATCCGGCTCCTAGGTCTGGGAAGGCTTCAGCCAGTCACTGCTCCTGGCCGGGCTGTGTCCTCTCCGTGGACGCAGTCTGCCTCAGGCCACGGTACCATTGGGCAACACCATTGCTCCCAGACCCTGGATGCCTCACGTGTGCTGGGAAGGACAGGGGCCTGGGCACCACTCAGGGGCTCCGCCAGGACTTATTTGAGTGGGTGAGACATGAGACCATGGCTCTGAGACCAGACAGCTCCGGGAGAGCTGGGCGGGTAAGGGAGGATGAGCAGCAAGGAGGACACGGGCTGCAGGGGCCTCTGGCAGGTGGAGAAGGCGCCTCCACACACAAGCCAGTCCAGAGGCAACGCAGAAACAACAGTACCGTTTGTAAAGCTCCTGAAAGAAGAACCGCTTCCCTCCTGGGAGAGTGGGGCCGGGGGTGCCAGCTCAGAAAGCCCCAATCTCTGTGATTTCGGAGACCCAGGAGTGACAGAGCACGGCTCCCACAGGCCTCCCGGCCGGCCCTGGGGAAGCTGGGCTGGGTGTGGGGACAGCCACGCAAGCAGCAGCCCCTGCAGCCCCAGGGGGCGTCGGAGAGGAGGGCTGTGGCAGAGGAACCATGTGGCCACTCCTAGCAGCCCTGCAGCTGGGGACAACGGGTACAGGGACAGCTGGCCTCTCCAGGGGACGGGCCCTCCGGGTAGAAGGTGCCCCTCGACTGGGCAGCAAATTCCTCCGGGCTGGCAGGATGGGGCCAGCGGCTCTGCGCACAGGGGCGGTTCGGAGGGCCGGGATGGGGTAAGCAGGAGAGGAGGTACCGGGAAGGACTGGGCCGGGCACTCTTCCCAGGATGGCGAGCTGGGTGCTCAGGGTTGGCAGCCCTGGACAGCTATGGAAGAAGGACCAGGGCCAAGGAGCGAAGGCCAGCGGGCCAGCGGGGCTGGGCGAGGGCTCCATCTCAGCTGCGTAGCTGTTGAGGTGGGAGAGGAGGCGGATCCGAACAGGGTCTGCACGGTTGCTGGGTCCTTCCAGGACCCCCAGGTACCTGATGACCTCAGTGAGGCACTCCCGAAAACCAATGCTCCGGAAGTCAACTGCCAGGGCCCGGGCATCAAAGAGTCCTGCAAAGCGAGGCACGATGAGGGCACGCCAGGCACGGGGAAGCCTGGAGCTGGGGCCTGGCTGGCTAGTTCTGGACCTGCCTCTCCCTCCCACTCCCCGGGTGACTATGGACATGTCACCTTCCCTCGCTAAGCCCCGGTCTCCCAATCTGTAAAATGGGAGTAAAAGTCCCTGCCTGGGCTAGGGGCTAGCAGGCTGGGAGGATAAATGAGTTCAGTAAATGATGAAGTATTATACAATGTAAAGGACTCTTTCATCACAATTCAGGACTCACACAGAGAAGCAACTCTGTGGCCAAGAGAACTTCTTTTAGCTAGACCCTTGGCAGGTGTGAGAAGGCTGTGCTGTAGAGATGCAGAACCTCCCCTGGCAGGGAGGACGCACACACAGGGAGGGGCAGATACGGAGAGTGGAGGTGGTGGCCGAGCTAGGAGGCCCCTTGGAGAAGGTGGCATGGTGTGGCAGGGAAACATGAGGTCTTCGGAAGCTAGAAGAGCTGGGTTCAAACCCCAGCTGTATCACTTATCTAAAGCTGCCTGACTGCAGACAAATCTTTTTTTGGGGTAGAGGTTTTTGCCTTAGGGCATGTGCACACACGGGGTTGGGGGTAAATTCTGCCCCTGCCTCTCCCTCCCACTCCCCGGGTGACTATGGACATGTCACCTTCCCTCGCTAAGCCCCGGTCTCCCAATCTGTAAAATGGGAGTAAAAGTCCCTGCCTGGGCTAGGGGCTAGCAGGCTGGGAGGATAAATGAGTTCAGTAAATGATGAAGTATTATACAATGTAAAGGACTCTTTCATCACAATTCAGGACTCACACAGAGAAGCAACTCTGTGGCCAAGAGAACTTCTTTTAGCTAGACCCTTGGCAGGTGTGAGAAGGCTGTGCTGTAGAGATGCAGAACCTCCCCTGGCAGGGAGGACGCACACACAGGGAGGGGCAGATACGGAGAGTGGAGGTGGTGGCCGAGCTAGGAGGCCCCTTGGAGAAGGTGGCATGGTGTGGCAGGGAAACATGAGGTCTTCGGAAGCTAGAAGAGCTGGGTTCAAACCCCAGCTGTATCACTTATCTAAAGCTGCCTGACTGCAGACAAATCTTTTTTTGGGGTAGAGGTTTTTGCCTTAGGGCATGTGCACACACGGGGTTGGGGGGAAGGTGGGGAGACAAACAGTGAGAGGGAAAGTGAGAAATCACCCCCCACGGGGGATGGCCATGCTGCAATCCCTTTTTCTCCCTTCACCTCCTGGGATTTTGGACATGAGTTTTAAGCCACCGGGTCCAGGACTCGAACAGCAGTTAGCCATGTGGGGGTTCAGTAATGTAACCGCTATGCCATCTGCTGGCCCTGTGGACAAATCTTACTCTCTCCATGCCTCAATGCCCTTAGTTGTACAATGGATATATAACAGCTCCTGCTGTGTGGAGTTGTGAGGGTGAAATTAAATGAAACACACGGCACACAGAAAACGCTCCGTACAAGAACAGTTAGCTACCCCCTACATTATCGGCTTGGGCCCTCGTGGCATATGGCTCAAAAGGCATTCTGCAAAGTCAGCCTCTACTCCAGGTCTCGGTTGCTGCCATCAGGCCAGGAACCCCCTCTTTGGCTCGATGTCAGTGAGGGCTGAGCAGGGGGACTGCCTGCACAGGTATGCACGCCCTCGCGGCCTCTCCAGACCTGCCCGTCTCTTGACCACTTCTGCGAAGACAGAACCGCCCAGCCAGCCCTGGCCTCATGACCGTGACTGCAATGTCTGTCATTGGTTCGCGGCTATGGCCCCATAAAAGGGGGGCGGCTCAGTCCGAGCCTATGCTTGCAGCCAGGCTTTCAAGGCTTCTCAATTGTGAAACCGTCAAACACACAGAGAAGTGTCAGGCAGACAAAATTTCCTTTGGTCTGGAATCTTTTTAAAGCTAGAGGTCCATTGGGACCAGCAGTTAGCGTAATGGCTATGTTGCTGGACTCCCATGTAGTCGACCGCGGTTCACGTCCCGGACCCGGTGGCTTAAAACTCATGCCGGGCGCGTGTGCGTGCGTGCCCAAGATCCCGAGAGGAGAATGGAGGAGAAGGGATTGCAGCGTGGCCATCCCCCCTGGGGGCTGATTTCTCACTTTCTGTCTCTCTGTCTCTCTCTGTCTGTCTGGTGAGCGCACGCGCCCTATAGCAAAAACCTCTCAAAAAAAAAAGCTAGAGGTCCATGACTTTATTGCAGCGGACCAGCTCGCAATAACAGAATGAGCTGTGTATGTGTCCCACTGCAATCCTGAGGCCTGCTGTGGACATGACATGGACGCGAGAGCCCCAAAGGCTCGACCGCCAGGTCGGGAGATCAGACAGACCCCTCCCTGGCTCAGCAGGTCACAGACTGAGAGTCTGGTGAGGATGAGCTCATTCGGACTAAACCCTAAGAAGGTCCTGGGACACAGGGCCCGTAAGAACAGCCTGTCACAGAGGGAAAGCGCCTCTGAGAGATACGAGGAAGATGAGGAAGACGAGTAGAGGGAAGGATTGGGACAAATGGAGATGCTGGAAGTGGAGAGGGAGAAGCTGAAGGAGGTGGAGAAACTGGCTTTGCAGGACCCTACGGTCCTGCCTCAGCCCCTTTATATCCTGGGAGCCCTGGGGGCCTGGACCGTCTCTGCTTCGGTCGGTCACAGTGCCCCTCCCTCACACAGCTGCTGTCTGAACGGCTCCCGGGAGACAAGAGCATCGGTACCTGTCCCGCCAGTGGCGTGCAGCATCTTCAAGTGATCCACCGTCAGCTGCAAGACCTCGGCTTTCTCCAGCTTGGACGAGCCCTGTGTGTGCAGAAAGCAGAGAGGGCCTCCGGCTGACCCCTGGCACTCCCCCACCCCACCCACTACCATCTGCACGCACTGTCTCACTTTTCTCACCGTCCTCCTACTCTGCCACTGCCTGCAACTGAGCTGCTTTGGCCAAGGTCTCCAAAGCTACAAGATTCTCTTTAGTTCTCATCTCTGGCCCATCTGTCCCTACACTGCTGGATATCCATTCATCCATCCGTCCATCCATCCACCCTTCCTTCCTTCCTTCCTTTCTCCCTTCCTTCCTTCTTTCCTTCTTCTTCCTTCCTCCTACCTTAACTTCTAGATAAAATTTTCTGGGTTCTCCTTTTACCTTGCTGCCACTCTGCCTGTCCCTTAAAACGGCGGCATTCCCCAGTGGGTGCCGGCCCACTTCTCTTTTCATTGTGGGGTCTTGTCTAGCTCGTGGCTTCATCCACCATGGCCAGAATGCCACTCGCACGTACCCACCTGCCTCCTGGGAACCCAACTGCAGACCACATGCCCGAGCTCCAGCTCTTCATCGTCGCCCTAAGGCATGTGCTCCGCCTCTATTCTCTCTCTCTCGGGAAATGTTTCCCGAGCCTCCAGGACCCCTGGGCTCCCAGGTAAAGGGACACTCTCCCAGGAGTGTTCTGAGGGTCAGGCTCTCCGTGAGTTTCTCACGGGCAGAGGCCAGGTCCAGGTCATGGCTGACCCTGTGGACATCTGTGGAATGACAGTCATGCTCACCAGCATAAGGGAAGCAGACCACCCGTGGCCTGTGCCTTGGAGCACAGGGTGAGACTCTCTGAGGCTGTCTGATCCAACCGTGGACTCCCAGCTGTCGTCCTCCCAATGACAGAGGAGTGCTTTCTCCCTGAGCAGCCCATTCTGTTTGCAGATAGCTCTGGAGATGTCAGCAGTGCAGAGGGACAGGCTGCTTTAGAATCTCAGTCCTGTGCTCCAGATCCGCTCTGCTACCTCCCAGCTGCGTGATCCGGGGCAGTTACCTCGCCCTCTGTGCTTCTGTTTCCTTACCCGTACATGGCATCATAACCCCTACCTTTTAGGATCATTCTGAGGACTCGGTCCAATAGGATGATGGACATAAAGCCACACCCGAGACAGCTCCCGAAGAGTAAGTGACCCTATCCCCTGGCGGGGGACAGGTATTAGTGAGTAGCACTTCAGGCAGCCGCTACCAATCAGTAAGACGTGCCCCCCCCCACACACGTCCTCTGGCAAAGCCAGCAACGTCACACACCTGCTTCTCGAAGGCAGTGGGCACCAAGCGCCGCAGTTCGGAAAGGCTGCTGTTGATCCGGTCCCGGCGCCGTTTCTCTATGATCTGGGACACCGTGAGGAGAAGGCACGTGAAGGCACTTTCCTGGGGTGTCCATCACGCCCTGCGGGGCACTGACTCGTGTTTTCCCACGTGATAATTTTGTGGGGGAGATAAACGCATTCTCGCTTTCTGGACGAGGACACCAAGGCTCAGAGGGGACAGTGATTTGCTTAGTGTCACAGCAAGAACGTGCAGCGCTGAAAGCAGAACTTGGATCTCTTGTCGGGGTCTTAGGGTGATACCCAAGATGTCCGAGCACTGGCGCAGCAGGCCCCGGCCGAGTAGAACGTGGACACGCCACAGAGCTGGGCAGCGCTGCCGGCCGGGCTGCGCCTTCAGTTCTGGGACCCGTGGAGGTCTGAGACCCGGGTATTGCTCTCCGGCGACAGAGGTCTTTTACACGGTCTCATGCTCCCTCCCCAGAGGGGGGTGCTGAATACTGATAGCCGTGTTTTACAGATGAATACGGTAAGGCTGAACTGAGGTGGGCCGCCAGGGCCTACAGTGGTGAGTGGCAGGGCTGGTGGGCCAGATCCCAGGACTCTGGACGCCCAGTGAAAGCATAGCTGCATCTTTTAGGGGGACTGGGGCTGGATAAAATGGGGGCCCTTCTTTTATCTCCTTACCACACTGAGAAGAAGTAAACGTTCTGGGCTCAGAGAGGAGACAAGATAGAGTATGGGGGAGGCTGGACCAACGATAAAGACCGTACTGAGTGTCAGGTATTGTCCAGGGTCCACGAGATTATTAACTCGCTTCTTCAGAACAGTCCTCTGGGGCAGGTACCGTCACCATTCCGGTACACAGATGGGACAATGGGGCACGGTGGTTAAGTGGCTTGCCCAAAGTCACCCTCATAGCTACTGGCAGAGCCAGGATTTGAGCCCCAGCATGTTCTTTTTCTTTTCTTTCTCTTTTTTTTTTTTGGGGGGGGGGGATTTTTGTTATAGGGAGCGTGTGCTTGCTGGAAAGACAGAAAGCGAGAAATCATCCCCCCAAGAGGGGATGGCCACACCACAATCTCCTCCATCCTCCATCTTGGGCACACATACACACCTGGCATGAGTTTAAGCCACTCGGTCCAGGACTCGAACTGCAGTCAACTATGTGGGAGTCCAGCAACATAACCATTACGCCACCTGCTAGTCCCAACCCTAGCAGGCTCTGACTGGGGTTCACCTACCAGGGCCCCAGGGATGCAGAGCAAACTTTTGCTGGGCTACTCAAAGGTGGAGATGCACTCACCCCTCTGCGTTTCTTCCTGGCTTGCATCTGCGAAGGGCTTGGGGTGGACAGCGGCCTGGCCATCTGGCTGGAGAGGAAGAGAGGCGGTTTTTCAGCGCCAGGGGAGCATCTCCGTGGCCTGGGCTGACGGAAGCCGCGGTCGCCCAGGCAGAGAAAAGCCACAGCGCAGGCCTGGGAGGGGGTCGTTCCTCCCCAGACCAAGTTCTCCTACGTGCTCCGGATCTTTTGGCTCCAGTCTGCTTGAATTCCCCGAAAAACCCCAAGCCCCTCGAGGTGGCCGGTCGTCGGGGAACCACAGCGCAGACGCTCCAGCTCCTGCAACCCGATCCCCGAGGGCGGGGCGGACCAGCGCACCGGCCGGTGGCGCAGCCAGGCCGGGCGGGTTGGGTTTCAGAGAGAGCCGCTGGGAACGAGCGTGGAAAGAGCAGATGCCGCCGCTTCCCACGGGCCGGGCGCGCCGGCCCCCCCCCCTAGGCCGGGCCTGCAGCTGCCGCCTCCTCCCACGCGGCGCGGCCAGGGGTGAGGGGGAGGCAGCATCTGGGTCACAGGCCCCTCTCCAATGCTCTGGGACCCGGCTCTGGCCTCTCAGAAGGCTTGGTCCCCTATATTCCTGTCTCCTCTCCCACCCTGGGCCTTGGCTCTGCAGCCCAGCTGAATGACTGACGTTTGCTCACACTCCGGGAGTTCCCATTTCAGAGAAGAGGCTCAGCCTCCAGGGGTCTTTCCTGCCCAGACTTTGACCAAAATAATCTCCAGCCCATAACGGTTTCCTCTAGAGGATGGAGGTTCGCTGCCTGTACCAAGGAATTTCTCAGCTGGCCAGCACCTCGGCAGACTATTCAGGCCCAGGGTGGGTGTCAGTTGCCCTCAGCTGGTCCCCAGCCTCCAGAGGCTCAGCTCCCAAGTGGAGCCCTCCCTCCAACAAATTCAAAAGCTCCATGAGGCCACCAACATGGTTGCTTTGTTGATTTTTGCTGCCAGCAAGTGCTTGAACAGGACAGGCTCATGGCAGAGCTGCCTCCTCCCGCCAGAGTCTTCGGCATCCCCTGGAAACAGAGAGCCTTTCCACCTCTGTGGAATGGGGGCATATGTGGCCACCAGAAGGGTCCCAGCCCACATGACTACCCCTTGGTATTTGCAGTTGGGTCATTTTGCTCCAGGGGGAAGTGTGCAGGGGAGACCAGATAGCACTTAAATCCTACTGCCATGCCCCTGGCTCTGTCCAGCCAAATCTGGAAGAGAACATCTCCTGACCAAATGCTCGGACAACCGGGGCTGATGGGGAGAGGCCTGGGAAAGCTCCCGGGAGGCCTAGAAAGCTAGGGCCAGGGCTCGGATGGCCAGATCCTGAGATCCATGCTGTGTGTTTACAAAGCTTCCCTGGGTCACTAGGGACAAGCCCCAAGAGCCAAGGTACACTAAGAAACACGGTCTTTGTTCCCTTCGGCTGGATAAGGCGTCCCTCGGGGTGTTGGGTTCGCATCGCACACGTCACTGCCTCCAGCCTTATCCCTCCTCAGTGACCATCTGTCGGAAGCTGACGCACCCACATCAGGGCAGGGCAGGGCAGGGCAGGGCAGCTCTGCCGTCCCTCCTTCCAGCTTCCTGGTCAGCTCTCCTCTGGTATTAACCCTCCCACATCTCACAGGGAACCTTGCCCATCTGCATGGCATCCCCGCAGGTTCTTCCTTCCCACGAGCCTCACAAAATGCCCATCTTACAGATGAGAATATTGAGCCGTGGGGGCCTGAGACAGCTCGGCCGGCCTCTGCAGCTGCTAAGCAGCAAAGCCAGCATGGGAATGCATGTCTTCTGGCTCTAAATTCAGCATTGTTTTCCCTCCTAATTCCCACTTCCTGTCTGTCTGAATAGCCCTCCAGTCCCCTTATCCTTAGAGCTCCCAAGAGTCCAGCCAGAGCTCGCTTCCAGCCTGCGATCTGGCCCTGACAGTGGGAGGAGGTGCGGGAGCCTCTCAGCTGAGCCTGGAAAAAAGGCAGATTTTCACGGACCCAGAAAAGATATGTTGATTACCAAGATCTGTCTCCTTCATGGGTCTCTAGTGGCCCCTAGCCAGAGTTCTGGGGCAGTCTCTTGGGGTGGAAGTGGGGAGCTTTCCAGGTGGTCTGGCTGCCAGTCCTGACCACCCTGGGCGCTGACTGCCCTGTGAACTCCCCCATGGAATCCTTGCAAATGACCCCACTTATTTCACATCAGCTAAAGGCAGGATCACAATGCCCCAAAGGAAGGGACCTCCGACAGCACTGAGTCCATCTGTAAAGTGAGGAAACCCAGAGACGAGAGGGCATCTTTCCCAGGCCACACAGCAGACGAGAGGAAAATGAGAAGTGGAGCCAGGTCTACAGCTTTTCTCCCAGTGCGTTTGCCAGTGCGCCCCACATAGTCTTCCTCCCATTAGGCATCTCTCAGGCTGAACTTTCTGTTCTAGGCAGTTCTCCCTTCCATTCGGCTCATTTATTGCGCATGTATTATTTGGGGCCATTTCACATCCAGGAAAAATAATCATTTTGTAGGTGGGGGGTGACAAGAGACAAAAAGAATTGTGACTAGTGGGTCTGGCCCTTCAGATTTCCAGTTTTTTCATTGGAGCATGCTGCCTCATGAATATGATACCCCCCCACTGAAAAGTGACCCTTAGATACCACCACTTTTTAAAATTGTTTCTTTGCCAGAGGGTGTGTGCACTCACTTGAGAGAGACAGAGAGCGTGGGAAAGTAAGAAGGCACCCCCCTCCCCACCACCGTGAGAGATGGCCATGCCACAATCCCTTCTCCTCTATCCTCCTTGGGATTCTTGGGCACACACACAGATGTGCCCAGAGCGTTGGGTCTGGGACTTGAACTACGTCGTCGGCTGTGTGGGTTCCAGCTACCTTAACCACCATGCCACAGGCTGGCCCAATAGCACCATTTATCTGCAGTTAAGTTGTGCCCAAGCGAGGAGCTTCGTGCTTTACGTGTACTCAGCAGAGTCTCACCCTGTGTGTCCCCTTTTGAAAGGGGGAAAACTGAAGCTCAGAAAGGGGTGAAGTCACTTGCCAAGTAAGTGGTGGTGAGAGTCAAACTTGGGCCTCTGACTTGAAAGGCCACCCCATGCCTTAACTCACACAGGGACGACCCGCAGACCCTGACCTAGAGCCTGACATGCCACAGGTGCTCATTACGTGTTTGCACAGGGAAGGGGAGAGGCCATATTCTCGGCCTGGACTTGACATGTGTCAGAGGGCTGAGTGCACACAGGAGCGCTGTGGGTGACCCCCACCCCGGGGCAGATGTTTGCGGTGACAGTGGAGCATATCCTGCGCTTCATGCTCAAGTCTCTGAGCGGGGGGAGAGAGGGGTTGTGCCCTGCCTCTGACCCAGGAGGCTGGCTGCCCCAGTCCTGTGGCCCTTGTCATCTGGCTTTCTTTGTACATGAAGCTCTTTCCTGAGAGTCCTGAGGGCAGAGGCCGACAGGATACATCTGGGCTCCTGCACCCAGCCGGGGTCTGGGCCCTGGCCGGCCAGTCCAGCACTCCCTGAATCGAAGCATTGATGTCTGCTGGGGGGAGGGCCGTTTGGTGAGTGCTACAAAGAAGCGTCTATAAGCCAGCCTCTGCCAGATGTCCAACTGCTTTCTCTCCTCGGAGGGGTCCGCTCCTCTAGGCACAGTCTCTAAAACTGAACTCTGTTAACCCGCATGCTGTGTAGGAAAAAACTGCCCGCTGACCCGTATGGCCCAAATGCCACATCATAGGAAGCCCTCCCTGCCATCGTCAGTTGTGAGTGACCTCCGCGCTTAGGTACCCTCAGAGCCTCTGTTGGTCTCTTTTGCCGTCTTGCCTGTGGTCTCCGTGTGACCTGGCAGGCCACAGACTCCCAGAAATCAGAAGCCAGCTCTGACCAGCCTAGCTATCTCACCTCCGTCTCGTACCTGTGATCCATGAGGACCCGATGACATCAAACTCAAGAATCGCCTCCACCACCATCACAAGGCATGGCCCCCTACCCTGTCCTAGTCGTTGGGGTCTGCTTCTCAAAACCGTAGTCTCTACTTAACCATTTTAAAAGGTTAGTATGTTGCATAAGAAAGTGTAGTCACACTGCAAAACCCTAACACACAGGATGTTAGAGAGATAGCTATTGCCTGCCTCCTATTACAATCTAGAAATGATCGGCAGCGGGTGGCATTTTACTGGAATTTCTGATTGAGACAGAATCTGCTGGTCTCAGAACAGTAGAGAACACTGAAATTACGAAATCCCCACAAAAACAAACTTAAGAATTAATGGACTCGCCCCAATCCAGTTCTGTCCTAGAGTCAAGTTTGGATGAGCCGGGAGAGGAGGAAGCCCTCCCTTTTCCACTCTTATGTTCATTTTTTCCAGCAACGAAACAGGTTCAGACAGGGAAACCAGTGGGCCAAGGCCACATGGTGAGTTGGTGGCAGATCTGGGCTGTGAACTAGCCCTGCAGACTCCACTCTGACCCTGTAGCTCTTTTAGAGCACATTCTGACATCAATTAAGCATTTGCTATCCATAAGCCTTGTGCTGAGCCCTTGACATACCAGAGCATCTTCAAAAAGCTCACAGAAAGTGTATGATGAAAACTACTATGGGTGGATTTCAAAACGATTTGGTACGAAAATAAACTTGTACTTGAATTTCATTTTCCACATGATCTTACTTGAGTTTCCCAATATTCCTATGAAGTTAGTACTATGATTTATACCCATTTTACAGATGAGAAGACTGAAGCTCAGGGAGTTCATGGAGCAGGAAAGTAGCAGAAGTAGTCCTGGGGTTTGTTCTTGAGGTCTGAAGCAGTTCACATTATTTACCAAGAGCTGAAGACACTGGCGGCAGGGAGGTGCCCTAAAAAGCGCACTGGAATGGCAGGGCAGGCCCTGCAAATCGGCTATTTTCTGCAACATCAAAATCCTGATTCCAATCTTCTCAAAGTAAGAGCGATTTTCTTCCCGTGAAAGCTTTTTTAAGGACTACATGAAAACTGCACTCAAACTCGGGTAAAATTAGGGAACCAGGTTATTCTGCATAGGCAGCGATTCTGGACAGGGGAGCGGTACCAAGTCCTTGAGAGTTTGCTCAGACCTCCAGGAAAACCCAGAATGACCACCGCCAACGGGTCATCAGACCCTCCAAGCTGAGCGCACCTCCTTCCCAGCTCCCCGAAGGCGGAGAGCGCACGACTGCGGCGCCTGCGTGCAACCGCGCCACGTGCATACGCCCCCGCGCGCTGACACCGGCGGCGCCGCACACCTGTCCCTGCTGACACGCGCGGGGGACCAGCGCGCGTGCTCCGTGAGCCGGGGGCGCTCCAGCCCCGCCGCCCCCCAGTGCCGGCCCTACCTCAGCTCCCCCCCCCCGCCCACG